TTAAGCATTGGCTCACTTTTTTCCTTTTTAAAAGCATGTTATTATATATGGTGGACATGGATTTGGTACACAAGGAAGCACAGTTAATTCTGTAGCACTGCACAGAAATCTGCACTGATGTTCACATGGAGCCAGCCCATGTGGATATGCAGAAGATATAAGGAAGAGAGGGAGGAAGGCATTTCAGTTTCTTTTATTCCAGCATTGGACTCTTCTGTGTAGCCCTGGATCTTCTGCCTGTCTTGCCCAAGTAGGGTTAGTCCATGTAATAACATACTGGTCTGCCGAATCCAGAATCACTTCCTTCTGCTGTGTTCTGAAGGGAAATATGTACAGTGATGTCTAGTGCTGGTTAGTGTTAGTATTTGGATAGATAATTATCCATGAAAAATGCCTTCCCCATGTAACCCACACTTACCTTTATTTATTTATTCTAGAAACAGACAACATGGGCTTTAATTGAAACCTTGCCAATTACTTGTTGGTAATAAAGAAAGAAAAAATAATTCTTTTTTTGTTTGTTTTTTGAGGCAGGGTTTCTTTGTGGCTTTGGAGGCTGTCCTGAAACTAGCTCTTGTAGATCAGAATGATCTTGAACTTACAGAGATCTGCCTGCCTCTGCCTCCCAAGTACTAGGATTAAAGGCATGTACCACCACTGCCCAGCCAAGAATAATTCTTAAGATGGTTGTGAGGATTAAAGAAGTTTATATACATACAGCACCAATAAAAGTTATTGACAGAAATTTCATGCTGTATAAATACTTGCTACTGTCATTTGCCCCCCCTTGACAGCACATCAGAGCCACAAGTACAGAGGTCTCATCTTAGTACATCATACTACCAGCCCCAAGCACATAACCAGGTCTGTAGGAGATGTCTCATCACCAAAAGTGAACATGGAGACCAGATGTTGCTATTCTGAATAATTTGCAACATCCTCATTACGGGAAAGTTTACAATGGAAATTTTTTTCTTTGTGTTCTGGTCAATTTGCTCAGAACCATTTTTCTTCTAAGATCCCAGTCTCCCTAGATGCAGAAGCTGAGCTGCAGTTCTTACAGCTTACTCATTCACTCCTTCCACTATTTTTATACTATGGTTTATGTCTGTCTTTGCACATTCAAACACATTGTCTCCAAGATGTAGAGAAATGATGATTGTTAGATTGGCAGTTAGATAGATAGATAGATAGATAGATAGATAAATAGATAGATAGATAGATAGATAGATAGATAGATAGATAGATAGATAGATAGATGACAGGTATATCAGATGATTAATATATAAATTATAGATACACAGCTGATAGATACATAGATGATAGACATAGACAGACTAGCCAATATATAGCCAATAGACATCAAAAGTGTGTGAGCATGGTTTCTCCTCTAAAAAGAAGTAGGGGGCAGCAAGACAGCTTAGAGGGTAAAGGTGACACCATGGGTTGTCACTCTATTTACTGAAGACTCTAAACTAGTTCATCTGGAGCACATGTAGAGATTCTACGTGGGGCCTTGCATAGAAACTGCTCCTGAAAAATGTCTTGTTCACTTCTTACAATGACTATGCGTGCTGAAGAGAGTGGTATTTATAATTCAGGCTAACTGTAGGAATTGGAAGAGTAAACACCTGCTGCCCCCAAACCTTGTGCATCTGCTCTCTGGCTCTTCGGGGTTTTATGCTTGGTCTTCACCTTATCTCTCCCTACTCAGGAACTGAGAGGCTCTGTGTTTGGATCACTGCACCCCGACTCCTATAGTTCAGGGAACTTTCAACTCTGCTGTGCTCAAGTTACTCACAGCAGCCTTCTCTCGGTCCTGCCACTGGCCTCCCAGTGTCCCCTCCACATTATTCCATGCTCATATCTCAGATCACAGCTCAGCCAACATGCCCTGCTTTTGTTCTCTTATACTTAAATTCTGTTTTCATTTGTGTTTTTAACTATTATATTTCTTAAACTTGTCTATCATAAATTGCTTGCTTTTTAAAAAGTTAGTGTTCATTAGCATCCATAGATGCAAGGATCCTTCTAGGGGCATCCTTTTCTAATGCAGTTGGTATGTATGATTTTGACTAAATCCTTTCAAAGTACATGCTTTGTGTAGATATATTCCCAGTCTGTTTGATGGTACTTTGTTATAGATCCTATTAAGTAATCTCTCCTTTTTTTCTGTTTTACTATGCATGCACCCAATTTTTTAACACCACTACATATAAACTTATGGGATTAGTACACCTGTTACATTTTTCTCATGCCTTCCCAAGTGAGGTATACCTCTTTGTCACTGAAGACTTATCTATTGAATACTTTGTACATCAGAGGCCCAGTCAAGGAAAGAAATTCACTGCCATGTGGGCCCTGGGGCAGCATCAGTAAGTCATTAGTTTATCACTAGTAAGACCTGATTCCAACAAGTTAGGCCCAAGTAAAAACCCAAGAGAAGGGATCTAAACCCCTTTATAAATATGTGGAGTGTCTTGTATCTCCAATCATTGATGATTTGTGCTTTCTAGTTTCTATTAGTTTACTAGGTCTAGAATAATCTTTAATTGTTCTAATCTGAACTAATTTTTTCATTATTATGATGTTAAGCATTTCATCACAGGTTTGTGAGCTTTGGGGAGGTATCCTTTTCTGAAATTTTCTGTTTATATCAGGCAACAACTTCAATCTCTTCTTGATTGTCAAGAATTTCTTGCATATTCTGGAAGATGCTAGGTTTTTTTTTTTACCTTGACTTTACAAATATCTTCTCACACTCTGTCAGCTATTGGTTAAATGTATCCAGAGTATCATTCACTGACAGAAATTCTATCTTTATGTACTAAATTCCATCATGTTTCAAGCCTTAAAGTTAGTGGTTCAGAAGTTTGTTTCTGATGTGTCTCTTCTCTGTATTGGTCTTATTGTTCTCTACCATGCGTAACTTTCTTTCTTTAGGCTTGGGAGGGAGCTGCGAATTGCCCCAAGATTATAATGTCCCAGCTATGCAACTAAGCCATCGAAAGTCATAGAATTGAGTCCTACTGGCCCAGCTTGGATCTACCTGCCTACAATCAGTATTCAGCAAAAGGTGAACCCTATTTACCTGGAAGCTCCGGAGCAAGACAGGTTAACCACACATTCAAAACACAAGAGTCATGAATGGGTGGTTTCTCAGTCGAATAACAAGGTATCATTTTCAAAGGCAGCAAAAGAAGTGCCGGGCAGACACAGAGATGTCATTTATAAGACGTAATTGCTTTTTTGTTGCTCATTAGATTGTTGGGGAAGTCTTATGTCAATAAAGCACTGTTGAGCCAATAGGGAACCAAGATAAGAGGGACTAGGAGTCCAGAAGGACTCTGGGTAGGAGAAAGACGGAGAGTCGAGATGTAACGCCATGGGGTAGGAAGCCCGGAAACCTCTCCGGTAAGAGACATACATAGATTAACAATTATGGAGTAATTACTTAAGTCAGAGCTAGCCAGTAAGAAACAAGAAAGGCCAACAGCTTCATAATTAATATAGCCTCCTGTGTGTTTATTTGGGACTGATGGGGCTCTGGAACCAGGCTGGCGAGAAGGCTTCTCTCAGGAAAAAGCCTCCCTTTACAAATGGTGATCAGGAGCGGAATTGAATTTCCACATAGAATGACAAAAGCTTTAAAAGAATTTTAGAAACAAAAGAACGGAGAGAAGCACAGATTTTTGGTAGCAGCATTTTCTCAGGTGGGCTCTGTTTTGTTAGCAGCAAGCAGAGACACACGGCTGGCTTAAGTTAGTCTTCCTGACTCGGCATTAAAAGCAAAAAAAAGGCAACAAGGTTCTTTTAAGAGGCTTTGCTAAAGATTTAAAAGTTGTACGTACAGCTGGAAGTGGCAGTGACCCCATCTCCAAGCTGGTAGCTGGAGTCACGCTTACGCCTGCCATCTTGAAAAAAAAAAAACAAACAGCAGTTTAAACAGTCGCGGTTTTAACAGATAAGACACGTGGCCAGAAAAACATAAAGATTTACAGTAAAGTCAGACTTGGATGAAGAAAAACCTCTAAAGGTTTACAGTGTGTTTAAAAACAAATACGTAAGATCAAGAGAGAAAAAAAAACGACAAAGTGGTGAATAAGTAGAGAAGCCTGCTGTAGAAATTGCTCCAGAGGCAGAGGCAGGCAGATTTTCAAAGAGAAACCCTGTCTCAGAGAAAAATAAATAAAAGTAAAGACATAAAATAATAATAATAGATAGATAAATAAGCCAAGTAATGATGGAAAATACACAGAGAGTCTGGATACTGTATGCTATTGTGTTTTTCAGTTTTTTGATTGCTCAGGAAGGAACAACTGCTAAAGTACACTTGATTATAAATGCTGCTGAATTAATTCAACTTATATCTTTTAAAAATGCCTTAACTTCAAATTTTAAGTATAAGGATATGTTACTTGGGAAAGGAGATTTTGCTTATGTTTCTACAGAAAATGAAAAGCTGAGGATTCCTTCCAGGCTTCTGTGGTTTGATGAACCAAAATCCCCGGAAGCAGTGAGCCAGGTGTTTCAACAACTGAAACAGCTAAGATGATGCAGCTTTACAGACCACGAAAATAAGGACTTATACAGGTTTCTGAGTTTTGTCATGATCCCCATGGTATGAACAGCGCCCCCTTCCAGCACGAAGCAGTTTGGAATGAGTGATGTCCTAATTCCCATCTTGTTTATGAACCTTTGTTTTCATCTAAATGGGATTGTTTATAATTGGCTAATGATCATAGTCAATCTCTTTAATGGTAAAAAGGGGAATTATGGTATGGGTATGGTTTTTCATTTATTGATACAAATTCAAGGTCAATTTTGTGATGTGTATATTTCTCCTCTTGATTAAGTATTGTGCTTATACTGATCTTTTAAAACGTAATGCATAATTGAATGCATACTATAGATTGTTACTTATAATAGAATTTATAGTTAGGTAAGTTAGGTTTTCTAGATATATAGAGATGTATTTGAGACAGATAGTCTTCAAACCTTTCAAAGATCTTCAGAAAATGGCATTTAAAATGGTTTAGGGCTTTTCTTGACAATGAGAAATGTCTGCTCCTGGCAGCACCAATTACATCTGAGAGGAAGATGGGCATCGACTCCTGGCTGGAGTCTAAGAAAAGCATAGAGGGTGTGGAGCTCTGGGCTCGGGCTGAGCTAGTGTGTGCGCTTCTGCTGCTGGACTTCAAACACACTTTGAATCCGTTGCAAAGGTGCTGTGAATATAAATACAACTATCTCAGAATTTACCGTTTGACAAACATGTTCAGGCTCTCATCTCTGTGCTTTATCTTGCCTAGAAATCCCGGTAGGCTTGCAACCATGGAAACAGAGCCTAAAATCCACAGCAAGTCCAGCCACAGCTGCCCTAGACCCTAGACAGCAATCTTCAGGCACTGGGTGAATGTGTACACAGCTTCCTCAGCGCTGCAGGTGCTCTAGATCCAGCCTTTCTGCCTTCAGATCTTGGCTCTGTCACTTGCCAGGTGCATAGCCACAGGCTATGTGCTTGTTCCTGCTGTGGAACTGAGTGTCTCAGGGGCTCTTTGTGAGTCTGGAGGCCAGAACCTCACACAAAGGAAGTGCTCAGCAAACATCGGTAGTGAGTCTTGCTTAACAAGTCTTGTGCTTTAATCCCTACACAGTGCAATCCCTTCAGAAGGGAGAAAAGCATGGCTTCTATCTACCTCCATGGCTTAGTCACATGAGTTAACGTGGAGAAAGCTGGGAAGTACCCCTACCAGCAAGATGTGAGATCTGTCTTGGAATAGGAACCACAACCCTAACCTGACTTCCTATATCTGTAGCAAGGCCAGCTAGATACTCTGGTACTGAGAAAGATGCTGTCCCTCTGCAGCCAGTCCTGTGCAAACTCCCCCATAGTCCACATTGAGGCAGTCCATACCAACATGGGGTCTTCTTCACCTTTCTTGGATTCCACAGGTGCAGGCTGTTGCTCTCTATTGAGGAAGAGTCACCCAGCCCTTCCATCCTGAGTTCCCACGCTTTGCATTCTTCTGTGTAATTGTCAGTTAAGAGCAGTATTGCTTGCTGGTACTGGAGACAGGGGGCACGACAGGCCCCACAGTGCTGTGTGAGGAAACCACCAGCCCCAACCAGAGGCGTATCACAAACATGGGAGGCAGGATGATCGCCATCTTGACTGCAGATTCTACTGAAAGCGGTGGGACAGGTAAACAGTCCAGGGTTAACTACTTGGGCGATTTTAGTGGGCTCTGGGGTGTAGCCTGTCAGCTAGTCCTGGGAGGACTAAGGCAGCAGCATGTTGTTTCATCAGCTATAAGAGCCCTAACAGAGGGCCATGGCTCAGCATTTATGTCCACATCAAAGGCATGCTCTTGGCGGGGTCTCTTGCTCTGTTAGAATTGGCTAGCTTTGTGACAAATCATCTCTCACAAGCCAGAAAGTAATTTTTAATATGTCAAACTGTTATGATACATACATAGAAAAATTTTAAATGTTCACAGTACACCCCAGAGTCTAGACTCAGCTTGGAGGTATACTGTTTCCAATCATGGCTCAATCCATAGTGTGTCTTACTTTGTATACATTTCTTTGAGTTCAAATGGATTCTTATTGAGGTCATTGTAGAAGCATGGGGATGATGACCATATAGCCTGCACGTGACCGGGAACAATCGCTATTTTATGGAGTTCTATTTTGTCTCTATAATGTGAGTATGGTGAGTGGAAATAAGTCATTCTCATTAAGTCACAATGAGTGAGCCTCTCTGGCACACCATCTACTTATCATGGCATCCCTATGACTTTCTAGTTCCTTATGGCGTTTCCTTTTCAGAGTGAGGACAGAATTTTTTTCAACTAGAGTTTATAAACTTGATACGAAAAGTGGTAGGTTTTGGAGATTTTGGTGAAAAACTATTTGGAAGAAACTGACAGATTTTCCCTGGCATTTCCTGCTAACCTCTTGGTTTGCAACCACATTGACCCATTGGCGCTAAGAGAGAGACAGCGCTAGGAAGAAGACAGATAGCAAACGCTTTGTATGAACATTAAAAAGATTGCTTTGACATTTCAATTTTTAAAACCACAGCCTTTCTGTTTCTAGTGGTAGGAAGAGTTAGGGAAGAGAAAAGCCTAAACACATGGGAGAAAACCTTCCTACTCTCTCAGACTAGGTGTTCGCTGAATTAGGAATCCTTGAGGAGAGTCAGGAAAGGAAAGCAGCTTAGTCGGTGGCACAGGTCTGAGAAAACCTCTCTCTCCTGCCATACCAGGTCTAGGTAGATGTAAGTCTGTGCAGGGAACAAAGGCTTGGAAGACCTAAGACAAAAGGACACCTCTGACCAGCTTCTGGTTGTGTACTAGGTAAATGTCTGCTAGACATTACCATATGATTTTTCCAGGAAGATGGACTCAGGGAAGTCAAGGATAAAGATCTAGGAATGTCTTGAGAAGAACAAGACGTTCTCCCACTGTTGTTGCCTTCCTATATGTCCCCTAAAGCTAATGTACTGTGGACCGAGGAGCAGTTGATGGTACTGCTGGGAGGTGGGGCTTAGAAAAAGGAAGTGAGGTCACTGAGGGTATGTCCTTGTAAGGAAGTGATGTCATTGAGGGTATGTCCTTGAAAGGGATAATGGGACTCCAGCCTTTCCTCTGTTTCTCTTTAGTTTATAGCCATCATGAGACACAAAGGTTTCTGCCATTTGCAGTCTGCTGAGATATTTGCCTTGGCAAATGACCAGAGTCAGTGGGGCCAAGTAACATCAACTGAGATCTCTCGAAACTGACAGAAAAGGAAGTCTTTTCTCATTGTAACTGGATTCATCCTTATATAAAAGGATTCTCTGTGTGTGTGTGTGTGTGTATTAAAACCCATTAACTCTCTTTAAAAGTTTTTTAAATATGTAAAATTAATAAGACTACAAAGACAGACAATTATAGCAAAATGTGCTACCAAAATTTTGTATTATTTATTTTAAAACAGGTTCATGATGCAGTAACAAATATGTTTTTCCTTATGCATTAAATTACCAGTAAATAATACCAAAGTAACTATGAGAATAAATAAAATTTGAGATAGCTACAATAAGTAATGCAATATGAAAACATTTTATTTATTTTGATTAAAAAGTCATAGACTCTGTTAATACTGACACATGATTGCACCTCCCCCTACCAAGTCCCTCCAAATCTTTTCCTGGCTATTGATGGGCCCAACCTTGTGCAGATCCAGTGAAGTCATCTGTCTTCTGTAATTATTCAGTTCATGATCACAATGGATATAGATTTCCAAGAAGATGGCATTTTGAAGCCCCCCTCTCTTTGATTTGTATATATTATATATTAGTCCTCAGTCAGATATATACTTGGGAAAAGTTTTCACTAAGTAGAATACTTCTTCATTCAACTGAATGTTCAGAAATTTCTTCAGTTTAATGAGATTCCATCTGCCAATTATTGGTGTTATTTTTTTGAGCAGCTGGAGACCTATTTAGAAAGTCCTAACCTATTCCTAAAAATTCCCCCCAAATAGTGGGAACACTTGGGAACACTTCCAATGTCCGTCTATGAGTTCCGCATTACTCTAATACCCTAACCAGATAAAGATACAACAAAAAGTAGAACCACAAATCAGCATCCTTAATAAACATACATGTAAAAATAATCAGCAAAATACTTAACAAGTAAAACACTGTCAGGGTTTCTATCAGTTGATAAATCACCTTGTCCAAATCAGTTTATAAGAGAAAGGGGTTATTTGGGGCTTACAGTTCTAGAGGGTTAGGATCCATGATGGCCACAGTAGGTGGCAGATGTGGCAACTGGAGCTAGAAGATGAGAGCTGAGGACTCACATCTCAACCCCATGCAGGAAGGAGAGAGAGAGAGAGAGACAGAGACAGAGACAGAGACAGAGACAGAGACAGAGAGACAGAGAGAGAGAGAGATAGCAGGAGTTTTTTAAAGACCCATCCCATGGCATAGTATCTCCAGCAAGGTCACAACTTTCTGAGCCTGTCCAAACACCATCACCAACTAGAGACCAATTATTCAAATGCCCCAAAATAGGGGAGACATCTCATTTCAAACAACACATGCACGCGCACACGCACACACACATGGATCATGCACCATGATTGAGTTTGCTTTATCCAAAATATACAGGGATATATGCAAATGGTGGAAACCTGCATACCTCATGATAGTTAGAAACCAAAGAGAAACAGAGGAAAGGCTAGAGTCCCATTATCCCTTTCAAATGCATGCCCTCACTTCCTTTTTCTAAGCCCCACTTCCCAGTAATGCCATAAGCTGCATATATTGCATTGATAAGTGTAAGTAATACTATAAATGGACCTAAAGACAAAAATCACATGGCTTTTCAATAAACAAAGAAAAGGCTGCTTTATAAAAAAATCTAACATCACTTAATGATAAAATTCCTAAAGAAATGTGACTTGAGGAAACACAACTCAAAATAATGAAGACTGTGTGTGACTGGCCCATATTCAATATCATGCTAGATAAGGAAATGTTTTAAGTAATCCATTAAAATCAGGAAGATGATAAGTGTAGTTGTTTCTATGAGAATGCCCCCATAGACTCATATGCTTGAATACTTAGTCCCCAGGAGGTGAAACTGTTTGGGAAGGATTAGGATGTGTGGCATCACCGGGAACAGTGTCATTCCCACTGTGCGCTCTCCCTGTCTCCAGCTTGTGGATAAAGCTGTGACCTCTCAGTTGTTTCTGTTGCCATGCAGTTGTCCTGTAATTGAGTGCTCTTGTCATTTGAGGCCATAAGTCCAATTAAACACTTTCTTTTATAAGTTGCCTTTTTCATGGTGATTTGTCATAACAGTATAAAAGTAGCTAAAGCAAAAGAGGTGTGTACATTCTTTTCATCTTATTGAATATGGAGTTCAGTGTCCTAAATAGACCAATGACACAAGACATGGAAATAAATGAATGCAAATATTAAAAGGTCCAAAGCATTTCTGTTGTAGATGATATGAGTCTATGCATATAAGACCCTAAAGATTCCACCAAAAGACACTTGGAACTAGCAAACATGTTCAGAAAAGTGGTGGGATACAAAATTAACATGCAAAATTCAGTAGCCTTTTAATAAATAAATGACAAAAACACTATAAACAAGTCAGGGGAAACAATTTCAATTACAGTTGCCTCAGATAAACAAATGAACAAACACAAATAAAAATAAATAAATAAATAAATAACTCTGGAGTAAACTTAACCAATGAGGTGAAGATCTATAAAATGAAATTTTTAAAACTGTGAAGAGAGAAATTGAGGAAAACAGTAGAAAGTGGAAAAATCTCCCATGCTTGTGGACTGATAGAATTAATAAAATGAAATGGCAATCCTACTAAAACAAGTTTATAGATCAATGGAATAGAATGTAAGATCTAGACTTAAGCCAACACAATTACTGTCACTTAATTTTTGACAAAGACACTATCTTAGTTAGGGTTTCTATTGTTTCAATGAAACACCACTACCAAAAGCAACTTGGAGAGGAAAGGGTTTATTTGTCTTACACTACCATGTCATTATTTGTCATTGATGGAAGTCAGGACAGGAACTCAAACACTTGGAGTTGATGCAGAGGGCATTGAGGAATGCTGCTTACTGGCTGGACCCTCCCCCATCAATCACTAATTAAGAAAATGCCTACATCTTATGGAGGCATTATCTTAATTAAGGTTCCCTCCTTTCAGGTGACTTTAGCTTTTGTTAAGTTGACATAAAAATGTCTAGCACAGACACTAAAAATATACACTGAAGGAAAGAGCATCTTCAACAAATAGTGTTTAGAAAACTGATGTCTGTATGTAAAAGAATGGAACATGACCCATATCTCTTACCATGCAAAAAATTTTGGAAATTCTGAAAAGCTAAAAGGTGTATATTATGCTATAGCATATAGGACCTGCATTGTTGAGAAAAAAGAACTCTTGAGTCTTGCAAGCTAGAGAAGCTTCTTAAAGATCATCTATGCCTTTACTTCCAGCACTTAGGAGGAGTTCCAGGGCAGCCTAGTTTTGTAGAGACTCTGACTCAAAACAAAAACAAAAAAAATTCATCTGTTATGCTCCTTGATGCCTTTATCAGAGCAACATTTGGGGAAAGGAGAGGGGGAAGGCAGTGTATTGACCTTTCAAAGGGAAGAACCATGAGTAATGGCAGCTGTTATTATTATTACTATACAAAGCTTCCCTCTTATATTCTAATATTTACCTTAGTAGACTTTAAAAAAACTAATGTATCTTTCCAAGGGCTTGGGTATGAATTAAATAAGAATGAAACAAAAGTATTTACAATGTATAGTTTGATAGTCAAGAAGCAATCAAGAATTGTATTAATATTAATTAATTAATATGGAAGATAGTCAATACTAGTTTTAATATGCTTACTAATATTTAAGAAGCCAATAAGGCAAAGTTAGACATTAGAGTCCTGTAAACAATACTCAAAAATACTTATTTTCCAAGAGTTCACTGACTTGGGATTATTGTCTTGGGAAGGGAGTCTTTCCTCATTTCCTTAGAGTTAGCTGTGTGTGTCTCTTTCCTCCAGAGGTTTACGGAGCTGAGAGAGATAGTGAAACCAGCTGGAGCTTTCCAGATGATGTGCCTCTTATGCAAGATAACTCACATGGACGAAACAGAAGTGTGGAGTTGGTATGCTTCTCACAATTGACTTGATGTGCATCAAAGCAAATGTACCAGGCCCAGCCTTCTCGTTACAAATGTCAGTGGTTTACGTGAGGTGGGTGGAGGAAGACAGGGATCAAGGCATAAACTCACAGCAACATGCTGTGTATATCTTGCCTGGGTGTACAGCTTTGCCTGCCAGTCATTTCCATACCACATCTCTAGACATTGCTCAGTGTATTTTACTCTGTCCCAGCTGGTTGATCCAAGGGAGCCTGGGGACCTTGGCCAATCAGAGCATTTGTGCCAGGAGTTTTGGAACTGGGTTCTAGATAGTAAAGTCATTCTTTCTTACAGGCAGATGACGCAATGAGCCATAAAGCTTTATGCAGTGTGACTGCCGTACTCTTGCTATGTGCACAGGAGGTGAGGAAAGGAGTGGAGAGAGGCTCTCCAACTACAAGTGATCCAGCTCCAGCCAAACTCAGGGGCATCCTCAGCTTGGGTGCTGAGGGTCATGCTGGGCCATATAATTGACACAAATGATTCCAGACTAGGGCTAAGTCAAGGGTAAATTCGTTCAGTACAGGAAGGCCATCTAGGCTGGTCACATGGTCGGTTGACATACAGAATGTACTGAACAAAGTTTGGAGATTCCATTAAGTAACAAGAAGCCAACACTTCCAGCTACTGGTACGGCCCCAGAGGGAGCAAAATGAAGCAAACAAACCAATTTAATGAGTGAGAGCCTAGCTTTATAAGAGGCCCATTATACTTGCCAGTGAATCTCTCTTTTCCCTGAAGAAACAAATTGGAGGAATGTGAGGGGGTAAGAAGATGAGCGCTCAGTGAAGGATCATTTTCATATTGCCTTGAAGTTGGAGGAGGCTGACTGTAGCTTTGCAAGCCCACATCCTTCTAGTTCCTGTTTAGAGGTACCTGAATCATAGATGCCTCTCACTGCACAAAACTGTATAGCAGTCGGACTCCAGAATTTATCATCTGCATAAATATGGATGGGTTCATTTCCTTCATCACTGTCATCTTTTATGTGAACATACTGCCTGTGCACTCTGCACAGGCTTTGCTGGGAAACTAAGCACCCTAATTTAGCAGCTGGAACTCACTAGACTTAAATTTAAGAAAACAGTCTGGAAGCAAAGTGGAAAAATTGGCTCTCCCATCTTTGAATGCAAAGGGTGCATTGTCTGCCTATCCTTTGGGACTTGTTCACTCTGCAACCATCTCTAATGTGTATTGTGAGCATACTGCTTGTCACGTACTGTTGTAACCAATTTGCATGTAGAAGACATTTTGTTTCTCACAGTTTTCTAATAGGTAGTTCTGTTCTGTGCATTTACAGGTTTGCATGATGGGATTCATTTACCAAAGTAAAAGTAGTATTTGGACTCAGCTAGTGACAACTTAAAGCACCCAACAACTGGGCTATGTTAACAGGGGTTATGCACATACCTGTATACATGTTCCTGGCACTTAGGATGGTATGGCAAGCGAAACTGCACCACCGCCTTCTTCCACTGAGCTCCTTGTCTAGTGGGGAGACGGACACGCTTATAAGATGGAAGAAGAAATAGGTACTGGCTAGGGGGTTGGTAAAGGACTTCCTGATGAAGAGACACATGTGTGAAATAATAATTAGGAACTGGCTAGACAAGACAGAGGAGGGCAAAGAAAAATGGGCAGACCCAGGGAAGAGCATCCACAGGTTCCGAGGTGGGAGTTTCCAGGTAGTCATAGATGGTTGTGGTACAGAAAGCTGAGCAGGTCATAGAGCACCAAGAGTGAGCCTAAGAGACAGGAAAACAACATCTCACTGGGAAGAGTTCGTTTCCGGATCTAGGAATAGGATGAGAAGTCCAGACTTTGCTGTCAGCATTTCACAGTAACCTGGGCAAATTGCCATGAATAAGAACTTGTGAGCCTGATGACAATTTCTACCACTCAGAGAAAAGTTTATGAACAGAGGCCAAGAGAAATAGTGAAGGCTTCAGATTATTCTTCATTTTGTGACCTGCAGCATCTGCAAGGATATGAAGACATGGACCACCACCTTATAAGTAGTTTCTTGTCCCAGAAAGTATACGTGGTCACATGTAACAATGGGCTGCTACCCAGTATCTCTTCATCTCCAGCCCAGTGTGTAGACTTTCAGCAGACTGTGTTGTTAGAGCCACAGGCACCTTTCTTTTCATCCTGTCCCAAAAGGACAGAATCCTCTTTAGAATCAGCCTGTATCTAACATTTCACAATGGAAAAACTACAAATATGTACTGTACTTTATCCCCAATGCTGAGTGTGCCAAATTGTTTAAATTTGATATAGGATTGAGTATCTCAAATAAATAAACAAGCAAAAAACAAAAACAAACACAAAACAAAACCCGAAGCCTCCTTACAGATGTGGGTATTAAGACCAGAAGGACTGGCTGAGACAGAAAGCCTTCCCTGCTACACTTAAAAGAGCTGAAGCAGTGAAGAAGCCTTTGTTTGGAGAGTAGGGTAAAGCTCACAATTTCCCTCCTGTGGTTTCTATGGTAGTGAACTCACAGCTCATGGGCTCTTGTTTTCCTCAAATGTTTCCATGTCCACAGACTCAGCTAATTAGACTAAGGACACTGTAGGCTGACATACACACACACACACACACACAGAGAGAGAGAGAGAGAGAGAGAGAGAGAGAGAGAGAGAGAGAGAGAGAGAGAGAGAGAGAGAGAGCGCACCATCTCTCTTCCACCTGACAGTTTCATCCAGGTGGAGGCAGCTCTGCATCTGTAGCACTTCTAAGCTCCTCCATTCAGTTTTCCCACCAGCTGGCTCAGCTTCCTTGGCTCAGAGATCTCCTCTACTTCCGTGTGCTCTCCCGAAGGAAGCACTGGCTACACCTGGCACTCTGCCATACCCATTGTGGGAACATTCTGCTACCACACATTAAGTCATCTGCACTCTTGTTGAATTAGTACATGCTACTTGACCATCTCCCATTCTATAATCAAGTGTTTTAAAATCTGACTTGGACAAAGGATGTTTGGGGTTCTTGAATCTCTCCACGGATCCTTAGCATGACTCAGCTATTAGTTCTGAACTCTTGGGCCTGAGGGATGTCTCAAATAAAAGGATTTATGGCTCTTTTACAGATACTAGCCAGTTATGAAGGTTGACAATTCCCAAAATCAAGGCTAGATAGAAGTTAGAAAATATCACTCAGATAATTCTTTATAACACAAATTTGAGAAAGGAAGGATGAGTTGTTTACACTGAAACTACATGAGGGATGAGATTAGGTGAAGCAAGGAAAGCCTTAGGCTAGGCGTACAGCCCTCAAAGAGAGCTGTTTTTCTTTGCAATATTGGAACTCCAACCCAGAGAGCTTCACATGCTAAAAACGTGCTCAGCCTTGAGAAATAATTTTCTACCTTTTTTTTCTGTATCTGGATATGATGGGGTTTTTGTTAAAGTTTTAGCATACATTGGAGACTATAAAAAAGAATGGAACAGGGGACATAAGTCAGACACAGAGAGGCAAGTACCACATTATGTTTGAATGTACAAATCTGGGAAGGTGATCCAAAGACAGAAGACAGAGTACTGAGGAAACAGACTAGTTCTTGCAGGAGGCACAATAGGTGTTGGGATGACAGGATAGTGGGCAGGGTGGCTACGATCATTTCATGATATCAGTGCAGATGGGAATGTCATAACAAACCCATTCGTTTGTGCAATTAATGTGATTGATTATAACAAATAAAGTTCATAGCATTTCTTTATTGGAGAGCATCAATAATAGGAGCATGACTTGAAAGCAGAAGGGGAGCTATTAGGAGCTAGGATGGGAGGTTCCTATTACAAAGAGGATCTTTGAAGAAAGAAGGGTAAGCACTACAAAGTGCAATGTGTGCTTGCATGGAGGTGGCATAATGACGTTCAGTAATTTGTGCAGTCCATGGATGTAATGTAGGGGGCTGCAGAGATGGCTCAGTGTTTAAGAGAACATGTGTTCTCTCATGCTCCCGAGTTTAATTATCAGCAACCACATTGAGAGGCTCACACTGCCTATAACTCTAGCTCCAGGGGGCTTCCCTTGGCGCTGCACTCATACGCACATGCATCCTCCCTCTATATACAAACATACATATAATTAACAATACATTGAACAGTTAAGAATAAGGAAAAGGAAAGAATGCGAGCGGGTCTTCTCACTTGCAGCACAGCTGTTTAACATCCCCATCTCTCCCCTCAATGCTCCGACCACTATAACCAAATCCAGAAAGGCTCAGAAGCTTTCTCTCACCAAGGACAATCAGAATGCCTGCTGTGGAGGTGTTGAATCAGGGCAGAAAGGATAGATAGATTAAGTCTACTGGGCACAAACATGCCCAGTTAGAATTTGCAGGCAGCAAAGCCCAGCATGCCATGTGGACCCAGGTCCAGAGAAAAAAGTTCTGATGAGAAAGGTCCAGGAGAGATGGGAGCTGAGCATGCTGGGAAGCAGAGGTGAGGACGGTCAGCACGTCTGACTCCTAGCCCTCCCTGATGCCAGACAGGACCAACAACACCAGGGGATAAATAAAACCCCGAAGAGCAAGATGATGTGGACGTTCAGGCAGTTAGAGTTGATTTCTGTGGAATCCCCCCAAGAGGCTCCTAACGCTATTAGCAAAATCTTCCCAAGATGCTCCAAGGAAAACAATGAAAACATAAGCTCATTTCTGAAACACCTGGAAACTGTTTACATTTTCATGGGGTGACTATGCGAGCATGAGATTCATTATAATGCATTGCATAATGGATGCCAATAGAGGCTGATGATGGACTTCGGAATGGTTTCAAGTTTTGAAAGTGTGCTACCTGTTTCGTTTCAAAATCAAGAAGACAGAGCTCAGGCAGTCTGGAAGATAAGGTCTGGTTTGTGACACCAGTGACATAACAGCCAAAATGCTAATGATCATTGTCTCATGGTTTGCCAAATGCTTTATTCTCCATTTACTCGCACTCCCATGGCCTAGGTAA